TTAATTACATTCATTATTTCGATAAAAGATGCACAATTATTGTTTAGAATTTCCCCTCAATAATCAGAATTGCCAAAAAGGCATTGTGAAATATTTTGTTTTCTATAGCTGGTTATAAGAATCAGATAATGTCATGTGGCCGCTATCGTGATTTCAGATTTCTGCAAAGAGCCAGATAATTACAAGATTGGTTTCTCTGTGTCTGGTGTTATGGCCGTGCTGGAGAGCCGCTCGTGGGGGGTAACTCATGACCTCAGTAGGACGTGAAGGACTTGCCGGTACCACCCCCCTTCCCATGAGACTGCAGTTGCCCCGTCACCTCCAGCTCATACCTGGCTTTCAAATAAGCTCTGAGGCGGTGGCCGCCTTGTATGCGGCCCAGATGCATTTCTGCCAAAAGCCGCTGAGTTTTGAGATTTGTTTCTGAGTCGCTGGGGTAATGGCCATTAATCAGCTTGATCAGGAGCCAGAGAGGTTGTTTGTAGGTGGCAACTCAAGGTCTCGTTGGGATGGGGAGGAAAGAGCCAGTTCCAACCCCATCTGGTGAGGCCTTGCGTGTCTTGTCACTACAGGCCCAAACCTGACTGTCCAGTGGTCTCTGGAGGATAGTGGTCTTCAGGCCACCAGGGGGATCAGGCCAAGGCACGAAACCTATTCCCACCTCGAGTGGCCCAGCACCAGTAACCTTCTCCTGTAACAGGACGCATTTCTACCAAAAGCCTTTGGGTTCCGAGATTCCTTTCTGAGTCTCTGGGATCATGGCCATTAAGCATTTCGGTCAGGAACCAGAGAGGCTATGCCTCCAAATATATAGCTGGGCTGGAGGTGGTTTGTGGGTGTGTCTCCCACATACCTAACTTTTGGCAATTTACTTTCTTGGTGAACTTTGCCCCAAGTTTTTGGGGTCTGGCCAAAAGCACAGCTGCAATTTTGGGGTATCTGAAAATCTGATGGTGCCATCAGGCTGCTGATGCACTTGCCTCACAGGTACAGATTGACCTGCTGGCGGCACCATACCCTCTTGTTTTATGTTTCTTATATTCAACTTTGAACTTCTTGAGAGTCTTTAATGAATCAGCTACCTTACACTGCCCAATCTAATTCCTAATCACGGTCCTCCCATTGTTCATCGATTTGCTCGAGCGGGCCCAGTAATGTCTCCATCATGAGACTTCTGTGTTTGGCACATTGAATACATCACGGGGAGCTTGCCAGGCTCTGCCGTGCAGGCAAGATACTCTCGGTAGCTCTCTGAGAGGAGCGGAGGAATCGAACTCAAGTTGGCCATGTTGGCTGCGTGCAAGGCAAACACCCTACCACTGTGCTATCACTCCAGCCCAATTCCTAATCACCTAACCTAAAATTCCTCTTTGCCATGGTATATTTTAAGAACTGATGAGTAGTTTATAAAGACTATTGATTTTCAGCATCCCTACATTCAAATCACAGAAGTAAATTTTTCAGAGCTACACATCACAAAAAACATCAGTCTTTCAGAGTTGGCCTTACAAATTCTGTCCCGTCCAGCTACCAGAAATTTGGTTCCTAACTGGTGTTTAAGGTGTTAGCACTTCCAAAATGCTCAACTGTAAAAAAAAGTCATTTTGTACTTTTGAAGTGGCTATCTCTAGAGGAAAGCAATCTCCCCAAGGAAGATACTTTTCTCTTTTATAGGCCATAATCACTTGCCAGGCTGATTGTAGTGCAGCAGTTGGAGTACTTTTATGCCACGTTGACAAGGAAGCACATAGAATTTCTGGCAAGAGGCCAAAAATGGGCCTACACATAGAGAGCATCAATACAATGCATGATTTAGCAACATCTGTGTCTCTGCCTTTAGATACATTAAAAGGTAAGGCATTGGAAACCAGTTCAGAAATGCAGACACAAAGAATATAAGTAAACAGTACCATGAAGTAACTGAGTATGTTCCCTTAAGATTTTCTCCCTAGAGTCAAACCCAATGAAGATTCTAACTACTTTCTTCTCAGTTCTTTAGTAGCAAAATAAGTCTTGGTTTTGGTACATGGAACACAGCGGAGATTTAGTAATCTTGTGAGATGATGACCGTACATGTACTATGCTACATATGTGCCCATTGTATATAAAGAAATTGATAGAAGCCACATTGTATAAGACCTCACAATTATTAAAAATTGTTGTATATGCATATTTATCACATAATAATTACTTAAATAAAGATATCAATGTGACTGAATAAAGCTATCAATGTGCAAAAGTTGCTATAAGAATGTAACATAATGGATGTTACTTTTGCAATATAAAACAAAGGAAAAAACATCATGATATACTTGATATTTTGTGACCTGTTTTTTTGAGTCACAATTAAGATCACTAGGTATATTGCTCATGTGAAAGTTATTTCAATATTTATCCAACTCAAAGTATTTTTTAATTTGATTAAAGTTTGAGTTTTGGATTTTGAGTCAAATCCAGCTATTACGTGAAATATAAGTAATTCCCAGAGTAATCAAGCATGACTGCTTATTCTAATATGCATTTAACTATAGTAAATTTTATCTAAATTCAGATGCAAGTCACATAACATAATGCAAAGAAGTTCAACTTAACTCTCAGAGTAATGCCATTTATTAGCATATTCGTGATTAAAGAAATATTTAGCATGAAAACCTGAACACATTAAAAAGAAAAAACTAACATGACATTTGGGTTATGATCTGACATACTGTATATTATGATCAACACATTTTTTTTTAAAATAAGCTCTACAGTTAGTTAGGGAGAAGTGATTGTCTGATTTGCATCTTGATTAAACAGAGTAGAATTGAGAATTTTTTTGAAGGGGCCACACGGAAAGGGATTCACCAAATCCTGAGTTGTGAGGATTTCAGTTGTATTACTTTACCTTTTGACTTATTTATTATATATCTTGCATACCTCTAGTACATGCTATCTAGGATTCAATATAAATTAAAATATGCCCATATATATAGTCTTGTCTTTTGGAGAATTTAAACCATTCCAGTTATTAAATTGAAAATACTGGGGTGCACAGAGTACAGTGGAATAATATGGTTTTGGCTTTATAAATCACACAACTTAGAAAGAGAAAGGAGTTTCATTTAGATTAGAGATGTAGAGCTAGGACATAGGTCAGACTTAAGTGATGAAAATAAAATGTGATGGCAGAAAAAATATAATAAACGGTGGGCAAGGGACATGAAATTATGACCATCAGATACATACTCAGGAAAGGACTAAAACAGGAGCTGGTATTGAAGACAGTGAATATATGAAACCCCATTGGAGATGAAGCCCTCTGCTAATAAGCTGGAGAGTGATTATGTGTAGTCAAGATATAATCAATTAAAATAAATCCCATTTATTTTTAACTGTCCAGAAAGGTTGGAATATTTTTTCAGGCGCATATTTAAAATTCAGCAGAAATGAGACAACTTTAAATGCTATCCTAAATACTAGGATTTTAGGAAATACTAGCATTAGTTTCCTAAATTCTAGTATTTGTTGCTGTTTTCTTCTAGGTTTAACAATAAATCATTTGCCAAATCATTTAACAATGAATCATTCCCCTAATTTGTATGTGGAATCAGTTCAGTGGTATACTGTTGTTGACTCAGAACCATCCTATAACAGCTGTACGGTTAGCTTTCATGGGGGTTATCCAATAATATCTTCTGAATTCTAGCCAATGTCCTTAGAAACTACCAGTTTGTGGCACTAGAGCAATAGCATAGCAGATACGGGACTTGCCTTCTATGTGGTTGAGTAGAGTCCTATCCTGAGGAACTCCATACTTTCCCTGAGTCAGACAGGAGTGATTCCTGAATACAGAGTCAGAAGTACACCCCAAGTACCAGGTGTGCCTTGCCCCATCCCCACAATGAACCCAGTTTGTGTTTCAATAGAATCTCATTATTTAATACCGATTATTCTTATTTTTTCCCATAAATTGGGGGGAGGGAGTTGTTCCAAATTTACATTTTTGTTGAATCACCGTGAGATAGTTACAAAGCTTTCATGATCCAGTTTCAGTCATACAATGTTCCAAAATCCATCCCTCGGGGCTGGAGTGATAGCACAGCGGGCAGGGCATTTGCCTTGCACGAGGCAGACCCGAGTTTGATTGCCAGCATCCCATATGGTTCCCCGGGCATTGCCAGGGGTAATTCCTGAGTGCATGAGCCAGGAGTAACCCCTGTGCATCGCTGGGTGTGACCGGAAAAGCAAAAAAAAAAAAATCCATCCCTCTATACTTCCTGCCACCACCACACCTCAAACCTGCCTCTATTCTTTTCTCACACCATCTCTCTCCCTCTCTCCTCCCATCTCTCTTCTTTTCTCTCACCCCCCATCTCTCTCTCCCACCCCCTCTCCCCCACTTTTTGAGCATTATGGTTTGCAATATATATACTGACAGGCCATCATGTTTGGCTCATATACTCTTTCTTAACATTGATAGGTGAGATGCTATTACTGTTGTGTATTTAAAAATTATTGAAAAATCAAAACAATTTATGAATGAATGGGACATGTGGGTATTTAAGCTTATTTTTTCTATAGCACAAATGACTTTGTAGAAAGAGTGAGCTACGGTCATAAGCTCTCCTCCCCATTATCTACAAATGAAAGGAAAGGACACTTGCACAATTATCACACAGTGCATTGACACCAGGTGGTCAAAACTCTATAAGTTGTCAGCTTGCTCATTCAAGTCCATTTCCTCCTTTGAATACATCTCTTTATGCCTCTTTGCTTGTTTAACTTGAAACAGTGTTCAAGAGAGATCATATTCAAGAATATGATCTCTCTTGAACACTTATTCCTAGCTCTATCCACTCAGCTTTCTAAGTAAATTTTCTTCAATAAAAACTACCTTGCTTTCCCCCCTGCCCCCAAAAAGGCATCCCTCTACAGGTTTCCATGACATTCTCATTAAGTTAAAAGTGAAAAGGTAAATATAGAAAACATATTCACCTAGAGCTTATTTTGTCTTCCAGGCTCTTCAATGGCCAGCAAGGAATTGTTATTCAAAATTTTAGCACAAGATCCATTCTCACCGTTACCAATGTGACACAGGAGCACTTCGGCAACTATACTTGTGTGGCTGCCAACAAGCTAGGCACAACCAATGCGAGCCTGTCACTCAACCGTAAGTAACACAGCTTTTCCAAAATGCTTCCAGGGGACTCTTGGCTCTTTTCCATCTCTAGAGAATGAAGTTATGTTGGATTTAGAAATCAGACTCATGTGACATGTTCCATATGCAAAGGAAACAACCTGAAAATAATAGGGGTATTTGAAAATGTTATACTTTCTATAGAAGTCTACATGTGTTCTTTTTTTTTTTATTCTTACTGTTGAGAACAGGTAAAAAAACAGTTGAAACAACTAACAGATACTTTCAAAATAAAGTTAATAAGATCTTTTTGTTTTAGAAAATGTGTTCTATTATCCTGAGTCATAGATCAATTTGTTCTGAATTTATTGTCCGTTGCTTTTCTTTAGACATTCATCTTTTAATAGCTAGAATATTCTATGCCATAAATAAAATAAAATAATAAAAATGATTGTGCACAATTTTATACATATACATAACATTTAATTCTAAACAATGTTTTGAGAAGTTATCTTCATTGTGAAACTTTTAATATCTATATTGCAAACCATAATGCCCGAAGGGTGAGAGAGTGAGAGAGAGAGAGAGAGAAAAGAGAGAGAAGAAGAAGAAGAAATGTGCCTACCATAGAGGAAGCAGTAGAGGTGGGTCAGAAGAGAACCTGGGGATATTGATGGTGTTCCCAAAGTACACTGGTGAAGGGAAGGATGTTGTAACATTCTATGATTAAAACCCAAGCATAAACAACCTTGTAACTGTGTATCTCACTGTGATCAAATTTAAATAAATACAGAAATAAATAAAACTTTAAAAACAGTAAGGAATTTAGAAAATAACAATTCCAAATTAACTTAGACTCTAACCATCAGAAATAGGCTAATTAAATGGGTAATTTAATCACAGGAATAGTATGGTTAAGATTTAGGATCTTGTGCAAAGAACTCCTGATTCTTCCAGAAGGTTACAAGTCCAAAGCAAAAAAGACAATTTATAGTCAAAGGACTATGATATAAAAAAGAAGCACAAATATCTTAAAATACATTTTCATTGTTCTTTATGGAGGACAGTCTGTGATGTTCCTGAATATATGCTCAGAGATAACTCCTGGTAGGACTCAAGGGATTACATGATGTATCAGGGATCAAATTTGATCAGCCATATACTTTAACCACTATACTATCTCTTCAGTCCCTAAGATATGTTTTATTGAGACCAATATGAAATTGAACATCTTTTCATGGATAATACATGTGCTCAACCTGCCTTTATCTTAAAGCTGGATACTGATTTGTAAGAGATTACTATCAAAATATTTAATAAAAAATTTTAATTAACCAAAAAGTTAATTTAAATATCAATATAGATTCACTTAAAGCAAACTCAATGTTTTGAAATATAGTTTAAAGTTTTCCTAGAATAAATACATTTTATAATGTATTTTAGTTTCCAAAAAGTACAAATAAAAAAAAGCAAAATAGGTGCAAGGATTAGTTCAGGGACAAAAAGCTTTTGCTATATTTTGCCTACAATTAATTTTTTAGTACTTGTTAAAAACTGCATAGATAGTACATTGCTATAAACATAAAATGTTCCAATCCTAGCAGTTCCAAGAGATAATAGAATGGGGAAGCACTTGTCTTGCATGCAACTAACCTGACCCCATATGGTCCCCCAAATTCCACTAGGAGTAATTTATGATCACAGAGCTAGCAGTAAACTCTGAGCACTGCTGGGAGTGACCTCAAAACAGAACAAAACAACAAAAATTTTCTGATTTTGAAAGAAAATATTTCAGAAGTATTTAAAGACAAAAGAAAATCCATTCTTTACAGTTCCAAACTAACTAATACTTTCTTATATTCAATAATTAATATGTTATAGAAACTGAAAATATGTATATTTGTCATCACCTTCTGACAACAAACAGTTCTAATAATTGAAGATGTATGGTTTATCATATAGATGATAATTTATATTTTTTAGAAATTGGAATGGGATATATATTATTATTACTTAAAATGTAATGTTTATAAAATATAATAAATGGTTCCATGGTTTATAAAATTTTATTTATCACCATTCAATAATTGCCTTTAACTACAGTACAATTTGTTGCTAAAAACTTTTAGAAGGAGTTATTCTATAAACATTATGCATTCTATGAGTTATTCTATTTCATGTCATAGATTATTTTAATTTTACAACATTGAATTTTCCTTAGTACCTCTTACTCCAAAAAAAAAAATTACTTGCCATACAATAGCCATCATATAATAGACTTAAGTTTTTTCCTGAAGATTATTTATTGAAATTATTAGTATAACTTCCTGAAAAATATTAGACCAGTTTGAATTTTAATTTAAAGTAAATATTTATATTTAATTTGTATGTTATTAATGTTTTAAATTAATTAAATATTCAAGAACCTGAGAGAGCAAATGAATTAAATAGACAAAGTAAAGAAAAATTTAAGACTTAGCACATTAACTTTCGCTCTTCAAACATCTCACTCACATTCTGATTTTCATCAAAACTAAAACAACAAATTAATAATAAATATCACTTATTTAATTCTGTGTTAATTCTGTCAACTTTATTACAATCATCCGGAAAAATGTAGTATCCAAAATGCTTATGTATATAGTTCTTCAGAATGGACTTTCCTTTTCTCCTGATATTCAATATGTAGAGGATATGAAATTATAGTGAATTTATTAACAATAGTGATTTATTGACAAATATGTAGTATGGAAATCTTGTTTATAACTATAAAGAGCTGTGGAAGAATTAAGAAAACATCATTATCTTCCAAGTTCTTGTACAATTTCATTTGCAGCTCTAACTATATACTAATAATTCTTATTTCTTGTAATAACTATTGTTATATACTTTTAGTAAAGATAGGATTAACATTTTGTTTTTGTGTCTCTCAAACCAGTAAACTCAGTGCTTGCTTTTAAATATTAACCAGTAACTCTTTATTGGCAAATGAGTTGTTCAAATCTGAGTAAGTGATATAGTGAGTTAGCTGGCTTTAGCTATAGAACTGTATCTGTAATCTCCCAGTATACATGACAATGTTGCCATAACTAAAAATGGCACTCTTGTTAGAGTAAATGGGATACATTTTATTCTAATGTTTCATTGGAATGTATCTAATTCTCACAGTTTCCAAAACTTTAAATTATTTAAAGACCCCTTTCCTCACCTTCTACAAATGAAGAAATTTAAGAAAAATATTGTTTGTCTAAGTAAAATGGACAAAGCAAAAATGCGAATACTGATGTGTGTCTTCTGAGTTTAACCTTAATTATTACATTTTACTGTCTATCACTATGAGCACAAAAAATCAGCAAACTAAAAGAGAAATTGTATCATTTGTAATGTATTTTTCTAAAGACAGATATCTACAGATGACAATTTATTCTTCTTGTGTCATCAATGTATTTTTGATAACTCAGGTTCCATTGCAATTATTCAGCACACAAAAGTTTTTAAAAATAAATGTTTAGCTCCAAACAGTACACCTATTATCAAATTTAAATGTATGGAAGATAAAAGTGATCAAGCCTTGTTGCAAAGTTGCACAAAAGTGAGACTTGAACAAAACTGAAAATACATATTTTTGGAGGAATTTCAAATATCTTTGGAATGTTAGTTATCCATTATGTGCACTTGTAATCTGAAAACTATATATAGGGAAAACTAACATATGTCGAAAGTATGAATGTTGAATAGTTACAATATATAAGGCAGTGTTCTTGATTTAGGAGAGAAAAGGGATAATGGAACAGTTACCTCTTCTCAAGGTAGTTTAGATGATTGCACAATGTTGGAGAGACAAACCAGCAACCAAATGCAGTGTAGTCAAATTCTCTGTCCCAATGTTGGGACAAAGAAGAGGATATTAATTCAGTCTTAAAGGTCAAGAATGTCTACCATCAAATAGGAAATATCACTACAGAATTATACTAACATGCAACCTAAAATATTATTTTAGTCATCACTATCTCTCTTTCAAAGATAGAAACTTTCAGAGTCCATTCACTGATACTCATGAGCAAAATAGTGGCAGACATTAAAGAAAAATCAACTCAGTTGGGGTGACTCAGGACAAGTTCTAGAGGAGATTACCTTGAATTAAGGACGTAAACTAAATTAATCCTAAGTGTGAAAATGTTAATGTGAGAGAGAGAGAGAAAGAGAGAGAGAGAAAGAGAGGGAATATTGGTGAGAGGGACTGCACTGTCACTGTTATGGCATAGATCATGAAGAGAGATGCCAATGTAATGCTGTTAATCTGATACTTGAAAACATAATTGTACTATAATATGGTTGGAAATGTTTAGAAATTATTTTGGGATAAATTGAAGAAATGAGAACAAAAAGTTCTGTGGCTTTGTTTGAAATTTAGTGTTTTAATAAAATAAAGATATTAACATTTTATTCCAGAGAAACTTCTTAGGCACTGTTAGATTAAGCCAAGATGCTAGATTTATGATCACTGTATCAGTGTCATGCTGTTGTTCAGCGACTGCCTCGAGCAAGCCCTGGTAATGTCTCCTTCGTCCTAGTCCTGAGATTTTAAAAAGTGCCACATTCGAGGCACTTTCAGGGTCAGGAGAATGAGACCCATCACTGTTACTTGTTTTTGGCATATTGAATACACCATGGGGAGTTTGCCAGACTCTGCTGTGTGGGCACGATACTTTTGGTAGCCTGCCAGGTTCTCCAGAGTAAGAACTAAATAATAAGATGTCACGCGGCCACAAATGCGGCCGCATGCTTCCAGGAGCAGGGTTTATAGTCTCTGGCTCTTGGCCGTTGATGGAACTACATGGCGCTGGGGGCAGTTGGTGGGTGTAACGCCTACATACTGGAAGATTCCAGATTTATAATAATAAATTTAAAAAGAAGACAGCTTCTTAAAAAAAAGAGTTGCAAAGATGAAGAGTTGAAAGATATTGAGAAGATAGGTAATAATGACTAAATCAGAATAGAGTGGGGAGGAATTTGTATAAATTTTGATAGTT